TCACATAGGTTGTAATAGATTCCCGTGTTGTAATTCGAAAAGAGAAGCCGAAATCCTAGTCTATGGGGTTACAGGGCACATGTGCCCAGATGAAGAGGACTTCTCATCCCTCCCATTCTGCAGAAATCGCAACATGCGTCTGCGTCAGAAGGTATTAAGTTTAAAAATGACTCGGGGCTGGGAGGGAACATTTATATTTTTGTGTCTTATGCCCTTATCATTTAAAAGGAAAGATTGGCTCATTGGTTGTCCACCATGTGCTCACTGTAAAGGCTTGTGTATGGAATTTTCCATAGAGTGCATTGAGCACGGCATGCAGTGACAACTCTATTCACTCTGCCGTGATGGGAACAAAGGACAAACAGAGCTTCTGTGAGCATTGTTTAACCTCTTGCCGTCCGCCCGTAGTAGAAAAACGGACGGACGGCAGATTCACTACACAAAATGGTTCAAATAGCAGGATGTCTTTTTTTTTTTTATCATCGCTCGAGAGCCTGATGCAGTTTTTAGGTGTGGACTAATGCCCCACACCCCCTGTGTTTGGGCTACCGATACTTGAGAGATGAATGATTGAACTACCTAGAAAATCAAGCTTCATGGGCAGGCAAAACTAAAATCCAAATGGGTAAATACACGATTAAAGCAGGCGTATGTGAACCGTTTTACCTGCCAAAAGATTTGTAATTCTTTTCAACCAATCTTATGATCCACCCACCCTTGCCAGACGGCTCAGCTTGGTCTGTACACCCCAAGACCCATCTATATAGACATCACTTTAGTTGAGCAATACATACTTTTTGATGAACGTAACTTATTTGTGTATCACTCGGCTGTAGATCCTCAAATCATCCCAGAATTTTTCTGGCCACTGTCCTTCCTTCTGGAGGGTGGCTACTTTTCTTCCCCATGTTCCCTGTGTGTTGTAAAGTAGCCACCGCTCCAAGCTCACTCCTGTGATGGACTACAATCTCAATACAAATTAGTAAACTAAACATGAGCGTATATAGAGAGCTTGGTGCGGTGGCTACTTTACACACACACAGGGACCATGAGGAACACAAGTAGCCACTCTCCAGAAGGAAGGACAGTGTCGGCACCAATTCAGAGATGGTTTGAGGATCTACAGCCGAGTGAGACACAAATAAGAAACATTTTTGTTAATAGTTGGGGTACTTGAATGCATTTTTAAGATTTTTACTACTGAGTTTTGTGTCGCTTTAAGGCTTTGTTGGTAGACCTCTCCTCTCTACATTGATCTGATTGACATGATCTGATCTTTTCATACCGAGATGTTTAGGTCAGAATTGTCCAAATATAACAATCTCTTCTCATGTTTGATCCTCCTCTATGTGATAGGACTTCTAAAACCTGTGTGTGATGTAACTCAGTTTTCAGCGTTATTTTGTAGGCCATAGTAAATTTCTCCGGCACTTTGTGTACACACAGGAGTAGTTAAAAGTGTTTTTTTTTGTTGCTAAACAAATGTCTTTTTATAGTGTAGTTTAGTGGTGGTGAGAAAAGCCCGGCTGACTTGTTTCCAGTGGTGTTTGCTCTGTAATTTGAGAAGATTGGATGTAACAAAGTAGCTGAATTGTCTTGTGTGAGATACGAGTCTCCACATGCCTGAGGGGAGACTATCCACTGTGCAGACTTTCCCACCCCCTCCCCACTCCCAGGTCTGCCTGAAAGGGAGAGAGCAAAGCTGCGTGTTGTATGACTGTTCATGGTTCGGAGGTGACACCATCTTGTGGTGGGTTGTTTTTTGCCCTGAGTATCTCATGTAAGAGACTGTAATGTAAAATCATATTCTATAAACTTTGGTGAACCATTAGATGTGCCTTAGGTGGAGATGGTGGGGGTAAAGGAAGTAGCATGCCAAATAGAGCAAGCCCTATTTTTTGCGTTTGCAGTGGAACAGAACACAGGCAACATTTTTGCAACACTCCTAATAATAAGCTGGAAATCTCGCCATCAGTGCACCCTGTATTAGCTTTGTTTTTATGAAACCAAAGCATTTATAGAAAAAAAATATTTGGACATGGTATACTCCATCCAAAACTCTGTTTTTTGAGTGTTAAAGGTTTAGCGCAATCTCCTGTCAGGTTTTTTTTTTATTGCTGGAAGCATCCCTGTTGGGGAGATTTCCCCTCTTTTCCTGTACAGGTGACTGTGGTAACCAAGAGAGGAAGTGAGGGAAAGTCTTTTAGGAACACTTCCGCATCCCCAGTTGGGAAGGTTCCTTTCACTGTTGCTGTTCTGGTGCCAGTGTACACCTGGAAAGAAAGTTAAGCTGGTCATACACTGGTACATGTTCGGACAAGATTCATACATACATAAATTTGATAATACCATCAGGGACTCATCAAATGGCAACATTTTGTTTGGTTTTATCATTTGATTTTGGAAATTAATGGAGTTCTTTGAACAAAAACTATGTTCACTGTTAGAATTTTGTTTTAATAAAAATTTGCCCTGCAGGTCCTTCGATTATTTTCGTCACTTTGGATGATCTTAACGACCGCACGTCCCCATTACCTATTAGACAAACGAGCAGAGCAGTGGGTGGGACCCAACAGGCCCCACCCATTACAGGATGTCTGCAGGAAACTATTGGAGTGGGCGGATGCAAGACCGACCAGTCACCCTGCACAAGGAGGGAGAGCAGCAGTGACTGCTCTTGATTACAGGGAGCTGCTGCACAGAAACAAAGTTTTGCACTGGGTTACTGCACAGATCTGTGGGAAATACACCAAAATTGAAGTAGGACTACAGGAGTGAATTTCCCTTCCTAGGGGTAGATTTCCTTTCGCTTCCTGTTGTCTCGAGGACTGGAAGTGAGGTTAAATCTTTCGAATGAGGATACTGACAGCAGTAAAAACCTCAGTGACCTGGAAGAAGAGGCGGGCACCCCTCGTCTGCACGTCTAACAAGAGCCAACTTCCTGTAATGCACATACAGTACTACAAAGCAGACCCAAAAAGGCGGGCACTCCTCGTCAGCATGAGCGCGGTAGCATTACAACTACCCCTGCTGTACAGTAATAGCCTCCGTTTGTAAGTAGGAGTCGGATGTATGTAACTCGGGGACTGCCTGTACCTAGATTTTCATTGGCTAGAACAAAAATGCTCAAACCTAAAAGAAAACAACCCACAACAGGTTCTGCTGCTGGGAAGTGCTCTGTAGCACAAACCCGTATGCTCTAGTTAGTGTTTTTATCACTTAGGAATATCAAGTTGTCTGCGACCAGCTTGAGTTTAGTTTTCTGCGCTCACTCGGCTGGTTTCCCCCCGTTGTTTCCCCAGTTTCCAGTCAACCAGAACTGTCCAATGTGGCTATTCACTTGGACAGAATTACTATAGCAGAATGTGTGTGGCCAACTTGGTCTATTCCTTCATGTTTCTGAGCTGAATGAATGAGATCGGATGTGACAGTAATAACATCACATGCTCCCTCTGCAAGCTTCTTTCTGTGTGCACTGATGAGACACATGCAGAGTTTTTCTAGTGTGGTCTCAGCACTCTGGTCTATGTAGAGAATGAACAGGATAATCCAAGGTAGGCTACAGAAAACCGAGATGCGGTGGGTGAAGTTAGGCAGACGGCAAATGGTGACGCACTTAAGGGGCTGCTTAAAGGAGAACAATGGGGTTGAGGCTTTTCCCCATAGTTCCCCTAAGGGTCATGGGAGAACACAAACTAGCCTTCTCCCGTGACCCAAAGCTCAGTATACCTCGATATATTGAGACGCCGCAGCCGGGACGGATCCCGATAATACTGTCTGGATCCACCCAGCTGCGGGATTGACAGCTGGCTTTGCCTATCCAGAGGCAGAGCCAGCTGTGCTCGCCCCCTCCCCCATCAGTTTCGCCAGTCAGTGCTGGAGGATCGGACCGGGGAGGGGGGAAATCCCTGCAGGGAGCCATGAGTGACAGTCACCGCTCTCTGCAGGGTTAGATCGAGAAGTGAGCGAGCGGCGGTATGTGTTCGCTCACTTCCCAATCTACTGAGCCGACCTGTGACGGTTTTATTGTCGCAGGTCGGCTCAGATTATGAGGCTGAGTGAAAATCACTTGCCTCATAAGTCTCCTTTTTAAATTGGTCTGCAGTGTATTGCTAACACCTTATCAAAGAAGATTGTAAACTGCTGAAATCTGGGTAAAGAGCAGCCCCTCTTCTTATTTCACTCGGTTGCACTATTAGAACACTAGAAAAAAGGGCAAACCATTCTCTGTAACTGCTAAGTTCCTTTTTCAAAGTCCTTGTAAAATGTTCAGTTAAACTTGGTAACGGACTGTATGTTCCCAGGATAATGGCTTGTAACACGTCACCTCATCTTTCCTGTTGATGCTTTCCAATAAAAAAAAATTACGTTTTAAATTCTTTTAATTGAACAAATATTCCAAAATCTTTCGAGAAGAAATGTTTGTAAAATGTATAGACGCAGTTGTCAAGGGGAAGTTAGTTGGTTTAAAGAACATAAAAACTGGAATGCTGGAGCAGGGACTGCACGTTTATCTGAAAAGGTCACTGTAACCACAGTGGAATTTATTTGGCTGACACTTTGAGTGGAGCTTCTGTTCACTGTAGCTGTGTGCTATCGCCGCTCATAAAAACTTTTCTTGCACTGACACCTGCTGGTCATTTGGGAAAGTTGTATCGCTGGGTTTTATTTGATTTGTGTTATTTATGTGGTCAGGTGGGGGGTATTACAGGTGCCTTCAATCCTCAGTTCTGTAGAGTATGCAAAAAGAAGTAGAAATTGATTATTTAGCAAATGAAGTTTTTCACGAAGTTATTTATTTGCTGGAAAAGATTTTGGTCTTTAGCTGTGCAAATTTGATATTTATAATGTATGCAATGGCTACAAAGTTAGAATAAGAATATTCTACTGTAGAGTCGGGATCAAATCCTTTTCAAACTTTGTATCTAAATAACGTTGTTCTGTTTTAAAATCTTTGACGCGTGGCTTATGCATAATTTCCTGCATTTTCTTTCTTTCAGCAGCTTCATGAAACTGTTAAAAGGAAGCTGGACAGTGCAGCTTCACCTCAAAACGGAGATCAACAAAATGGCTATGGAGACATGTTTTCTGTGTCCAAGAAGCTTCGACGTGAAGATGGATTAACAGGAGGGATTGGGTCATCTAATGGGATGCCTCCAGTTTCCCCCTTGCATCAACTGGACAACAAACCTCCAAGTGGAGATTCTTTGCAGTTAAATGGGAGCCATTCGCTTGGACTGGATGGTGTAAAGAAGTGTCTTCCAGATGCAGGCCTACAACTAAATGCTAATGGAGATACTGATGAGTTCTCACTTTGCTTAAGCAAAGAAATGAAGCAGGAACCTGTGGATGACTTACCTTGCATGTTATCAGGTGTGGGTGGTTCCATGTCTCAAAACAATTTGATGCCTGACCTAAACCTGAATGAGCAAGAGTGGAAGGAACTCATAGAGGAACTAAATAAATCTGTACCAGATGAAGATATGAAGGATCTTTTCAGTGATGACTTTGAGGATAAAAAGGACAATGATGCTTTAAATTCTGCAACACAGACACCTTTGACCCAGGATATTCATGTGAAGACAGAGTTTTCTCCTGCAGCATTTGAGCAGGAGTCTCTTGGGTCTCCACAGGTAAGGTCTACGTCACGTGGACCATTTGTTGGAGCTCCTTCAGTGCCTACTAGCAGCTCCTCTCCAGTGATAGGTGGTTCCCAGCCTGTGTTCCAGCCATCTTCCCAGACTGTGACAGACAATTCCAATCAGGCAGCGTTGCCGCCTTCAAACCCACCTCAAAATGTGCCGAGACCATTACCCAATGTATTAATGTCTGGACAGAACACTGGAACTACCAAAGAGATGTCCTCAGCCCACCAACTTCAACAGATTGCAGCAAAGCAAAAGCGGGACCAGTTGCTTCAAAACCAACCGCAGACTCAACAAGTCCACCAGTCCAATCAGATGACCAACTGGCCACCGTCTCGAACTTCACAAAGTCCGCTGGGGGTTCCTTATAGCTTGGAGAAATCTACCAGCCCTTCTGTTTACCAGCAAGAGTTCAATAACCAGAAACTAATGATGCCCAATATGAACAAGAGCTCCCCTCGTAGTGGAAGCGGCTATATGCAGCCCAATCATGTTGTTATGATTGGTCATAAACCTTCGAACAATTTAAACCCCAACCAAGCTCCAGGTCCAAATCCTATGCTGGACTATGGCAATACGATACCTCTCTCACACTATGAGGCTGACTGTGGTCCTGGGGTGGTAGCGCAGAACAAGAATGCAATGATCACTTAGCGACGGCAGCAGCAGCAGCAGCAACAGCAGCAGCAGCAACAACAGCAGCAGCAACAACAGCAGCAGCAGCAACAGCAGCAAATGCCTCCTATGACTGAGGAGCAGAGTCAGATGTTCTTGATGAAACAAAAGGCTGGAATTCCTTACAGGCCACTGGTGTCGCACGGACAGGTAAGGTGGCTCGAATATAGAGTATCTGAATGTTTCATTCTTGTACATCTCTTCAGATGGAAAATGAGATGCTGATAGTATAAAGTGTAGTGCTTTATTTTTTCAGCTTCTTATACTGCTGAAAGCATTCCAATTTCCATACAGCTGGTTCTGCAGTAACTCATTTGGTATGCATTAGGGAGGGAGGAACCATAGGTGTAATAAACTTCACATATGATTCACCATCAGCTGTAATATGCAGGTCTTGTGTTTGTTCTGGGTCATGTGACCTAAAGCTGCCATTGCAGTACAATAGTTGGCTGACTTCAGCAGAGTCTTGAAGGTTAACTGTATTTTTCTTTACCTGCTTCTTTTTAGCAGTAAGTATGTGTTTTATTGTGTTATGTTTGAATCTCTCCAGTTTCCAGCATCTAGTGTTAGATATTATTAGGATAAATCCAGTGTCGGTCAGCCCTAGCACTATCATTTACAGGTTGCCTCTCTCTAATAGACAGACCCTTCCTATAGTTTGAGGGCAGTGCTGTGTGCTACACCAGTGACCCCTGCTCTGTTTTCTGTGTGCATGAGAGCGGATGTGCACCATACATACACCAATCGGAACACTGTGTGCCATAATATATTTGCTAAGACACGCATGTGGCCGTGTTCTTTATTTACAGCAGGAACGTCGGCTGATTCAGCAGGAATTGGCCGAAATTTGAACCGTTGGTGACCCCATTCCTTTGGCAGTAGTCGGTCATTAGAAGAAATTCTTTGGCCGAATCTGATTGGCTACAAGCACCATTCGTGTAGTGCCGCTGCTAGAATACAAGGTTCCCAGTAGGAGATTCATCCATCCATCCATCCATCCATCCATCCATCCATCCATCCATGTTATTCAGCGTAAATAGAGGAATCTGTTTTTTGTTTTGTTTTTCGTTCAGTCTGCATCTTTTTTGAAAAAAATATCCGTGTATCCCCAGCCTAATAGCAGTCCTGGCAGTATAAAAAATGGCACGTTTTTCTGGGCGTCTTTAGGCCCCGTTCACATTGAGCGATTTATCGCACGGTAATTCCCGTGATATCGCGGCAATTTACCGCGCGATATCGTTCTCCAATGCTTCTCAATGGGGCAAAGGGTCCTGCTGTCGCGGGTCATGTGTCGCTACAGCAGGACCCTTTTTGGAGCGGATTTAGCCGCGATTCAAGCTTGCTCAATGCAAGCATTTGCGCGATATCGCGCAAAATGCAAACACGCGACAAACACGCGATTTGCGAACCGCTCAATGTGAACGGGGCCTTAGTGTGGGATCCCAGCTTTACTGAATTTGCCTTCATCCAGAGTAAGACCGTGTTCAAATATCAGGTTGAACAGAAGAAAAAAAAAGAATCAGTGTAGACCCTACGTAACAAAGGTTTTGCTTGGATAAAGATGGTTTACATTCATTCAGCTGTTAGAAGTTTCCATGAAAACACTGCTGGCCTCTTAATAAACAGGAGTAAAAGTGGCATTATGGACACGGCCTTATGACGTGAAAACTTGCCACTTTAATCTCTTCATGGTGCCTCCGAGTCTGCTGGTACTCGCAGACATTGCACGTTGGTGCCAGCCATTCCCCGCTTCACATGTGCTTTTTTTCTTTACTTTATTACAAGGAATTCACTAAGCTTTAGAAGAACTTGAACACTTAAACATTATGTGAAATCACCCGTCTCACTTTTTTTGTCAGCATTCCTGCAAGTGAATAAGCTGTATATACTACTGGCTTGTAGCCGTTTTTTTTGTTTCTGCATAGTGCTGCTAAAATGCAGCTTCAGGGCATGCAGGGAAAATAAAACGTGGCTTTGGATACACCATTGCATCTGATTGAAGAATAAGTATACTTTCAAGGCTTGTTCACACCATGTCAAGACCAGAACGGTTTTTGTCCTAACTTGAAATGCATCCCAATGTATTCCTATGGTATTTCTGGGCCCTGTTCACACCAGTTTAGTCCTGGTGCAGGGGGAAAAAATGCTGCATACCCCCCCCCCCTTTTTTTCTATAGGTCTGGAATGTGCCAAAACGTATGTAAACGCATCAAAAAGGTATGCAAACGCATTAGGCTGCACCTGAAAGCCAATTTTTAACTACAAATAAAACTCAACGGAATGTGTCAAATACGCACTGCACCACGTTTGCAGATCTGGTCCGACCAGGGTGTGAAGAAGCCCTTTAGTATTTATACCTACTAGCCTTGCAGCTTGTGTAGAAATGTCAGTAGCAAGGGGTAGCTGTTCTGCTGATAGAAATCTAAGACAACTTGCTCTCCAGCAGTGTTTCCATCACTGTTCCTGCAGCAGCTGCTCCTGGCCAACAGCAGAGGGAGCGTAAGGGAAGCAAGTAGATTACCTTTGTATTGGAATGCTCCCTCTGCTGGTGGCTGGGAGCAGAATGATGAGGCTGAGGCTTCATTGCCACTTTCTTTTTGTCCTCTATATGTAGAGGGAAATCTGTCAGACTAGATGCGGTTTGTTCTTCTAGATGCGTTAAATGACGCATGTTTACATGCATATGCATTTAGATGCACTTGGTACCGAATCCTAGCATCGAAACATGTTTGTGTGTTTTGGAAATTCAAATTGATTCCTAGATGCACCTGATTTCCATTTTTTGAAAGCGCAGATAAACTGACTGCAGATAATTGCATCTAGACGCAACGTGTGAATATGCCTGTTGCAATTCATTAGCCGCATAGATATGTGGTTACAAAAGCTTTTTAACTGCGTATAAAAGCATCTAATCACGTGTAGGGTGGGCTACACCTCAGGGACTTGCATTTCCCAGCAGGAATCCCTAATCTGCAGTTTAAAGTGGCAGCTGTCCCCCTTTCAAGTTAATGATCAGGTGACAGCCGCTGCGTTTGAACGCCGGCATATCGCATGTTATCATATATGATATGATTACATGTGGTTCGGAATCAATCCTTCTCCCTGGATTAATCAATCGTGCGTCCAGGGATAGTGATGCCTAACCACGTGTAATTGTATCACATACGATCACATGCGGTGTGCTGGTGTTCAAATGCAGCGGCTGTCGCCAATCATGAACATGAATGGGTGACTGCTGCCATTTCTAAACGTCAGATTAGGGATTGCAGCGGCAGGAATAGCCAGTTGCACAATATAGGTGTGAATGGGGCCTAAAGGTTCCTTGTCTGAAACTTCCATGTATCGGTAAAACAGCTATCACTGGCAACTTAATCTTCTGCGCACCTTACAGGGACAATTAAGAATAAAGATGAGGTATTCAAAGTGCACGCACGCACGAAGCTGGCAAGGTCACGTTTCTGCTCACATAATTGAATTGATAATGTTCTGTTCTCTGGATCTTTTCTAGGAGCAGAATCCACAGGCAAATGTGGTCCGTGTTCCGGTGTCTGTGGGAGGAGCAGGTGTTGTATCGCAGCCGCCACAAGTGTCCATGGCGAGTAATCATGCAAATGCAGCTTATCTGAGCAGCCAACAGCAAGCTGTCCTAAAGCAGCAACAGCAGCAAATGCTTCTAGAACAGCAGAAACAGAGAGAGCAAAAGCAGTTAATTCTGGAACAACAAAAACAATATCTGATTGGACAGCAGCGGCAACAGCAGCAGCAGCAGCTCCTGGCAGAACAGGTACTCCTTCTTTTTATGTATTTTAACAAAGAATATGGCACTGTCAGACTCAGGTTTGTGACTGCTCTTCAGTATAGGCAGCAATATAAAATCGTCATGAACACTGGGTTCTCTTGCTCCATGCAGGCCAGAACACTGGCTTGACGATCAGAACACTGCTGAGCAAAAGCAGACCTGTATATATTATTCATCCAGCAATCTTAAGTCTTGCCGGAGTCAATAAATATACATAAAACTAGAGCTACTTGTCTTTCCTGGCCAAAATCTTACTTTGGGTTTTCTTTTTAGTACTGCTTATATAAACAAATGCTGTGACACTTGGTTATGTGACCTCCAAAAGGTGAGGCTTCAGATTGGCTGGACCTCCCCTCAGCTGAGAGAGGACCAAAGACTGGTGCATAGGTTTTGGTTAACATTTGGTTAAAGGTCTACAGCAGAGGTAGGCAAACTCCAGCTGTGGGGGGAACTACAATCCCATCATGCATCTACCTGTGGGAGTCATGCCTGTGGCTGTCAGTCTTGCAATGCCTAATGCGATTTGTAGATGCACTGCAGCTGGAGGGCCGGAGTTTACCTACCTGGTCTCGAACATTCAGAGTTGAAGTGCACGTGTTCATTGAGAACTGACAATGTAATTCCAGTAGTGATTTGGGGTGAGCTAGTGACACATTGATAAAAGGAGACCTATAGGAGATCTATATCCATAAAGATAAGCCAAGCTATTTTTTATTTATTTTTTACTCCTTTGCTACTCTTGTGGCTTTTCCAGTTTGGTCACCTCCAGTTTAGCAGTAAGTCAAGGAAAATGCTTCACTTATTTCTAAGCACTGATTGGTTAGCCGTATTATGACATTTGTATTAATTCTCTATATTTGATTATATTTTGTACAGGAGAAGCAGCGACACCAACAGGAGCAGCTGCAGCGGCACCTCACTAGGCCTCCCCCGCAGTATCAGGACCAGCCACAAAATTCCTATCCACAACAGCCAGTTGGTCCATTTCCAGGTGGGGTCTTAAACCAGTTTGTTTTTGTTTTTTTAGATATGTAAAATGTTTAGGCTTTTATAATTAAGTAGAAAAAAACTGATGTCCAACATGTTCAGCATCTCACAAAACAATTTTCCCCACCCTCCTCCCTGGCAGCAAGTGGGGAATTGTATTATGGAGTATAGTGTATTGGGTGGAAGTTACAGAATGAGCATGAATGAGTGTTCCCACCTCGGCCCTCTCATCTTGTCTGAGCTCACCTTCTGACGCAGACACTGCTATATGCTACCAAGCAAGTCAGCAATTGGGTTTTCTAAAGACGCGCTAGCGCTGAGGTGTTCTTTTCAGCTTAGAGCATGCGCGCTTTTCTATGGATACCCACCTGCTGACTTGTTGGGCGGCGTACAACAGCTTCTGCGTTTGGAGGTATATTTAATTAGGATAAAATTAAAGGGCCTGTAGAGAATATTTTTTCTATCAATCATACATTTTACCTTTAAGACATCAAAAGTTGCCTTTAATGCTTGTACTCGCCCCGTCCATGCCATAGTGTTGCACTTTTTGTCTTTGTCTGATCCTGACAGCTGCTTCTCTCCAGAGCTGAATGATGCCCAGGCTGTTATCTTCTCACCCCCAAGAGGGCAGCATCAGTCCTCCCTATGCTCACAGAAAATGCTGCAAACAGTGTACATCGAGCATTTCATATACTTTTCTATTGTATATATGTTGATATCATTTCTTGAATAAAAATATAGAAGTGTAAGGCCATGTTGACCTTTTTAGGAAGGCATCCTTGCAAAAATCCCAAGAAATCTTTTCTGTGCATTTAGCTTAAATGGCAGCTGTTTGTATTGTAAAAACATGTATTTGCATCAGCATTTTCAGGAATCCATATAACCTTATTTCCGGAAATGGTACAATTGTAAAACTAGGTAATCCTTTGTGCACAGCTTGCCCTTTATGGCTTATGCTTACTTTGCAGGATGACTAAGGGTTAGTTCACACCATAAGCAGTGTGTTCTGGCCAGAATGCACTGCTTTGCATTGTGGCCGGCTCACTTTTTTGCCAGGCTGGACGGGGCGTGGCGGGCCATTGACGTGACTGGCATCGTATCCACGCCCTCTGGCCACAATGCGATCGCCCGCATGGGATCGCAAGGCACATTGTGCCTGCAGTCCGGTGCAATCAAAATAGTGCTTGCAGCATTTCATCGCACTGCAGGCACAATGTTCCTTGCGATCCCGTGCAGGCGATCGCATTGTGGCCAGAGGGCGTGGATACGGTGCCATTCACTTCAATGGCCCACCATGCCCCCTCCAGCCCGGCAAAAGGGAGCTGGTCGCAATGCGAGTCAGTGCGCTCTGGCCAGAATCGGACCGGAACACACTGCTTATGGTGTGAACTAACCCTAAAGCTTGATTCACACTGAATGTGTTGGGGCTGTGCTGGCTATTTGTTTTTTAGTGTGGGCACAAGACAAGGCAATTTGCCTTGCCACAGATGGGCACAATTCACACCACCGCAACGCAATACTTTCCGGTGGTGTGTGATGGAAAAAAGTACTGCATGCAGTATTTTCTTTCAGCACAGTGGACCATGACACGGTACAACCGCACTGCACCCAGAGAACTTAATGAAATGTCACGAGTTTTCAATTTAAAGAGAAAAGGTGAACAGTGCAATGTGCTGAGATCAGCGCATCAGAACTGTGATGGCCAACGCACAGCCGCCATTGTGAATACAGCTTAAACAATTCTATAACATGACATTGTAAACACTGGACCCTATCTGAAATGTTTTGCTGGATCCATGTAACAGAATTGTTTACCTTTTTTTGGCACACATATGGCTACTATTATACAGATGGCTAACCATAAATTATTTGAATTTCTATTTAGTAGTCCTCCCCATGTCTATAGGAACAGCTCACAGTCAGATAGTGGAGTCATGTTGTTGGTGCTACCGGCGTATCACAGTAATATTGTGGTGTGAATGCTTTCCATTAGAACAATGAGTGCCATCCTTCCATGTATGCTCTTTCTTAACCTCGTTTCTTTTTTTCATAGATTGCATATTCCTTTCATCAATGTTTGTACCTGTTATGGTTTGATTTCCATTGCAAGCCCTAGGAAAATACTTTCTGCCATCTCTGTATCATGTAGTTGTGAAAGTTGCACATTTCTAGGTTTTGATACTAGGGGGGGAAGAAAGTACAAGTCGGCGGGGACATTGACAGCCAAGTGGGCTATACTGCAGTGTAACTAATTTAAGGACATTGTAGAAAAAAACCCCCCACAACATAGTTATTGTACAGGTGACTTCTATACTAAAAACACTGTTCAGGTTCCCCACACCCAATCTATTACACCCACAGACAGACCGTAGGATACAGCTCAGACCCCTTTTACACTGCCTGGCTCTCCTGTTCAGCTTATAAACGCTCACATGTAAACCTTGCGCTGTGGCAAAGAGCCAAGCGGTTAAAAGCGAGTCTTTGGGTATAATAGTTAGCAGGGGAGTGAGGAGCCCATAGAGGGCTTTCTAATATAAATGTACACCTGAACTTTGCAGAACAGTTGCGCTCTTATGTTTGTTTCGTTTTTTTGGTAATATCCTTAAGCTGGTTATCGGGAACACGATGCACTGTTTTCAGATATTCTTTTTAGTAAAAGTATTCTGTACCTTTTGTTGCAAGTGAATAAACTAATCTCATCATTTTGCTTGTGTCTCAGGGTCATCTTCAGTCATGCCTGGTGTAACTAATATGAACCATCCAAATTCTGGAAGTCCACGCATGTTTCCACAGTCACAGCCTATGCTTCACATGGGAGGTGGACACGCATCTGTCCCAACTCTATCTTCTGTTTCAACGCCTCAAGAGCGAGCAGTCTCCCAGTACCCTAACATTCAGACAGTGCAGCGGGGAGGAATGTACAGCATGGGAACAAGTCTCGCGCAGATGGTCCCAAATCATACAGCACAGGGTAACATGCCCAATGGTCAGCCTCCAATGCAGAGGCAGCCAAGCTTGGGTCAAGGGAACCCGCTCCCCGCTGGTTATGGACCAAATCCCATGGCAAATCCAGCCTTGGCAGCACAACACAGTAAAGGGGGGATGAACCCTGCGTTGGCAAAGGCCCAGATCCCAAGAATGCCTGCTACGATGTCATCACAAAACCCAGGATGGCAACATCAAAGCATGCAAAATATAAACAGTCAGGCCCAAGGAAATAATGGCTTGGGTCCCTTCAGTTCTGCCAGTGCAAGCTTTCATCTCCAGCAAAATCATCACAAAATGTCAAACCAACAGTTTGCCCAGGGCATGCCACAAGTTGGTCTAGGAGCTGGTCGACCTATGACCTCATTAAACAGTTCCGTCCCTGCCCAAATGATGCCAAACATAGCTTCACAGCAAAGGACAAATCCTGCCGGTCAACAGCCAGCACCTAATCAGCAGGTATTACCAGTGATGAACCAGGCAGTGCCAGATCTGACGGCGTTTAGCCAAAACCCAGGTCAGCAAATGGCCAACAGGGCTGCACTTCACTGTAATCAAACTTACCAGGTGAGGTCAACAGGTCAGGACTTGCCCTTTGGGTATGGCGGACAGTCTGGTAACAGCGGCTTACAAAATTTGTCAGGTGATACTGATCTGCTGGACTCCTTACTCAAAAATAGGACTTCGGAAGAGTGGATGAATGACTTGGATGAGCTATTGGGGAACCATTGATACCAAGCCTGTTTCTTTTTTTTTTTTTTTTTTTTTTTTCACAATGGTTTTAAGAACCTTTTTTAGTACATTTTTATTAAACAAATGGAAAAACTAAAATGTAATTTACATTTGGACCAAAAACCTGTGCCATTGAGATGCTATTGTCACTGAGGCTGGAACATTGTATGTCCTGATGCTTCTCTCCCTACCCTCTGTAGACCGCTAATAATGCCTGGAGCATGGTTCGGTCTTTGCTCACCACTGCCTGCCTCTGTCATAGATGATGGCAGAGCCCCTCTTCCTATCGCTACAAATGCCTTATTTTCTCAGCACTGTGTGGGAAATGATGGGTCATTAGCAGCAAAGAACCAATTCAGTTGTTACCATTTCCATTTGTCCTTTTAGTTTTGTAAACCATTGCTTGATGTCCCCAGTGTGTGTACCCCAGATAGGTGTCAGGTCAGCGGAGCGTGCATCTCTTCTGGATACGATGTCCTGCAGTATTGGCTCTCCAGGTATTGCCAGTAGCAGAGTTCCAGGTATTGCCAGTAGCAGAGTTCCATTAGTTGAAGTCCAGCAACAGCTTGTTTTCTCCCATAACATGTCATAGTTTTTCTTAATTTGCTACTAATCTCTTCGATTTGTTAGGTTAGGAAAATAGTTTCAAAGAGTACCTTTTAAAGGGGTTTCCATAAAAACTGGAAATTTGCCTTTATGGACTCCTCATATTAATACATAATAAGAACTGCTTATAGTTCTTTGATTTACCCTAAACTTGTGAGCTAAAGTTTCCAGATTTTACCTGCATCACCACTTGCTGTTATTATCTGGTTTTGCACTACAGCCACTACAAAAAAATATTGTAGTTTTCATGGACGTAAGGCCTTCAGGCAATAACAGTGGAAGACCCAGAGCTTACACAGGGGGCTCCATTGTCCTTAGAAATCCCCCATAGGCTTTCAAAGTTATACTCTAAAGGGGAACTGGACAATGAAGCGCTAATGCCCCATTAAGTATATGTACACACAGAAATACCTGTATTGAGGAGGCAGCACGCCCCCTACCATCAGTTACTTAAACGCTTCCATCCACCGCCAGAGTAGTGCGCTTACTACATTTTTGTTCTAAAGTTATAGTCTACCTTTTGTGAGCCATGTTTGGGTGTAATATGAAACATGGTCACATTCCCCAATCATCCCCCCACTTTCCTGAATCTCGGGGTGCTCCTCCCTGAAGTGTCCTGTTCTTTTTCCATTCGCTGTGGCTCTGTATAGCTCTGCCTGCATTACATTTTTTCCAACAGGTGGAAAATGCCCCACACCCCACTTTTATTCAAACCAACTTTGTACAAGTGATGTAAGCAGAAGATGTGTTAGATCAATTGGGCGGCTTTCTTATGTGGAAAGTCAGTATGATTAGGGTGTGTGGAAATAAAAATAATAAATAATATATATTATAATAATTGCACACACACTTCCATTCTTCATTTAGGTTCTATACATCATCACTAAGCAAATTACCTGAATTGCTGTAACAGCTTTGTAATAGAAAGTTCATCATGGATGTCATCTTGTAGTGTGTTTCAGCCAGTGTTAGGGGGGCTTTACAGGTCATGTTTTACCGATATCCGATTCAGAGTCGCCGGTAGAACGGTTAGTGTTCCTTTTACAAATGGTGAATTGACACCACTTTGCAGTTGCCTAGAAGTAAGGAAAACATGACCTATTGGTAGTCCTTGAGGAATGGCGTTGGGAAGCACTGTTACAACCAAACCTAGCTTTTGACAAGTGGGGAGCAGTCACGGGCATTGAGCAGGCTGCATTTAACCCCAATGCCCCTGCCCATGTTTTTGCGAAGAGCAGAGGCTGCCAGTATAACTTTTTAGGTTCTGGCATTAAAGCGTAACTCCAGGGGAAACGTGAAAACAAAAAGTGAAATAAATGCAGTCAGTCACGGCCCCCAAAATGCTGCCTCCCATGTGTACAGCCTGTGTGGGCTTGCCAGTAATCCCGGCTCCCTCTTTGTCTTTCTGTCCACAGTAAAGCTGAACTGTTTCTATGCAGGACGCTGATATTAGGCACTTGCACCAAATAAAAACAATTCCATGTAATTGCTTTAATTGGTGTTTCTGTGTACCTGTGTAACAGTTGATTTAATCGTGGTCAGTGGTAAACCTTTCTGTCTGTGAGCTTTGTCCTGTTCCCTAAACCCATGTATGAGTTTATGATTATGTCTTGATAGATAACTATGCAAAGATTGAGTATTGTAGTGTTCTGTATCTCATTTGTTCTATAAAGAAGCCAAGTGTTGAACATTGCCCTCATTAAGATACCATCAGTCGTCTGTGACATTGTGTATTGTATGACCTAGTAGATCACTGGTGCTGGCCCACCACTTGTTACTGATCCTTCCACTATGGTGTCTACATTTATTTTTATTGCAAGGGAATGAGAGGACCGGATACTATTTGTACTGGTGTAAGTGCAGCTGATCAATTCCCTAGGTGCCGGCAGCAGGATTCTAAAGTAGTCATTGACCAGTTTTTGGGTTGCCCCTCCAATGTGTAGGTCACCAACACAGTTTCAGAAATGATACCTCCGTTCAATGTAGGCTGCAAGATATTAAAGCGATATTCTTTCAGCGACTTGTCACTATTTCTGAGAAGTGCTTGTGTGACATGATTTCCGAGTTCTTCTGTGTATAGAAGAACAAGATTTGGATTCATTGTAACATACATAGATTCACATACCTGTTACCTGAGAATGCATGTTTATACCTCTGGAGGTTGGCACAAGACACCCTGGCTAATCTGAGGCCGAAACTACAGCGATTAGCTAACAATATACAACACACGCCCAATCACCATTTTCCCACTGAGATTAGCAGGTGGTAGTGGTGGTAGAGAAGCCCCCCTGGTGGTTTGGTGCTCCATAGACCCCAGAACTGTCTTTTGATCTGGTAATGATCTCAGTGGTTACCTTGACATATAGAATGCAGATGCGGCCCAGTTGTACAGTATTTCTCTTCACTTTACATAAATGCCACCAATTGTGCCTTTGTAGACTACGGATCAGTGCCACACGAACCTTACTTGTAATGTTACCTAAACCAAGTGGTGTATTAAGAGATTGGCTTATTGACTCAATATATGTGTGTAGGTGCCTCACAGGTGGAATCGACTAGAGGAACTTGGCGTACAGACATGGACACATTTGTTGGTACCCATCAATGGAAAAAAAAAAAAAGTTTTCTCGGAAAAGACTTGAAACTGACATGTAATTGGCACTCGTCATTGTTTCTTGTTTAATAGAATTCAGACTTTGATTTTTGATTCAACAGAATATTTTAAATAAAATCTCAAAATGACATGGACACAAAATGAGACGCTTAACCTAATATGTTGTAGCACAACGTTTGGGGGCCATCACTGCAAGCTAACAATGTCTGTACCTCTCGGTGAGACTTCTTCACCTGCCACGGTATTTGGCTCTTTTTAGCTGTTTCAGGTCTGAAGGAAGACTTCTCCAGACTGTACGTTTCAGCTCTTTCTATAGATGTTCAGTAGGATTCAGATCATAGTTTAATATTGTGTTCTTAGCCATTCTTGGGTGCTTTCCACGTCTGTATGTGAAACCTAACCCAGAACTTCTCATTTGTTCCCTCTTGGTATGCTATATATACCAGTGAAATGAGGTGTTTATCTGTTTTATGAGTAGAAAAGATATCTGTTTTTTGCCAGAGATCCTGTAAGCTGATGACCTTCTCTACTCTCTTCCTGTGCATGGGGCAGGGTGAGGGGAGGTCTGTCGTCCATCAGAAATGAAGTAAGCAGGACTGACGCCATACTGTCTTGTGGGAGCGCACTATATTTCTGGCACATCAACAGTTATTTTTTTGTATTTGTAATGTGTGTAAAAGGATAAAACCTGGAAGAATGTGCATGTATTTGAGAGATGTCCTCCATTTTTTTTTTTTTTTTTGTCTTGACATACACTTTATAAGGGTCTAGGACAGGTCCGTTAAGCAAAATATGGGGTTTGACCAAATACATTTACTCAGTACTTAAAAGTGGACCCCCCCCCCCCCAAAAAAAAAATTGGGAAAGGGCCAAAAAACATGTCCGTAGGGTGGCTGGGGATATTTTTTTTATTATGTCTGACACTGACCTGTAATTCGTGAGCGTCTGTAGCCCAGTTTTACTGTACTGTGAGAGTACAGAAAAATGTAACGTCTCTCTCGCTTCCCCTTCCTCTCTCTCCTCGGCCATTCACAAAACCCTTGGTGGTTTTTGTGTTTTTTTACTAAATACAAGACATTCTGTGATTGGGTGAGAATAGAGTCATGTGATCTCCTCTCACCCAATCACAGAATGCCTTCATACCCTATAAAGTCTTCAGCAGAATTGAGTGAAATGAAAGCCATGACGTGAATGCTTTCATTGCAGAGACAGCATAGTTTATAGGGAGCAGAAACATAAGAAAGAACAGAAGTCAAGTCCCTTCTAGAGCTTTGCGCTGACCACTCGCTCAGTGGCTGTTTGTTGACACATCATGTTGTCTGTATGTAGGCCGTATTTTAGTCTCTTTATATTTCTTTACAAAAAAGACTTTCAGATAAAACCTCGTACTTTCTAAGCTGCGTTCTATGGGCCTTTTATGGATGAAATGTCCTGACTCTGTTTTTAACTACTTGATATTTTCAGTTTTTTGTTTTTTTATGCCTTGTTGTTGGCATAGCCTTATGTGTAGTACTGCGCTTGCAGTATGTATAACCCAATCAGTCATATTCTTTTAGTGGACTTGTCCTCTTTGGACAGCCTGCTAGTTTTTAGTAGTACTCGCTATTGCTAAATTGAAAATAGAGAATGACCGTTTAGAAAAAGCCGGGTTTCCCCTTTAAGGAAAGATATGGCTTGAAGTAATTCTCCAATGAAAGCCAATGATGTGGCGCGTGTGTGAATATTTTGCTACACCTGTACTAGTTTTATGTGTTATGACAAGCTGATAAAAAGCCATCTGAAATATTCCTATGTTGTCCCATATTAGCTGTTCTAAAGATGCATTTTCACTATGAGGACTTCAATGAAGGGGCAAATGTTTCTTTTTTTATATATATAAAGTTGATTTATATTGGTATTTGGGTGATTTTCCTCTAAGAAACTTGAACAGTCTATTAAATGGGTCTGGTACACGTTCCACCAGTGCTGAGTGTTCATGTAACTGAACACATTTCCACAATACTATCCTTGGTTACATTTTCCATACATTCTATTCTCCTTTTTAATAAACATATTGTCCTCTTGCATCTTCTGAAGCTAGCTGGTGGCCAGAGGATCACATGTAATGCTGCCGCTGTTGAGATTTATTTTCCTTCAGCCA